ATCGTCTTTTCCTAATTTCTTCTTCAGCTGGAAGTTGGTCTGTTCTCTCCCACAGAAGGCTATTGCTGATGGTATCCGGCCAGTGGATGTTGAGTATCTTGCGTAGACAGCTATTTATAAATACTTGTACTTTCTTGATTGTGGTTGTTGTAGTTCTCCAAGTTTCAGCTCCATACAGTAGAACTGCCTTGACGTTCGTATTGAAGATTCTCACTTTGATATTGGTTGAAAGTTCTTTTGAGTTCCATATGTTCTTCAATTGTAGGAATGCGACCCTTGCTTTGCCGATCCTGCCTTTACGTCTGCATCTGAACCTCCTTGTTCATCGATGATGCTTCCCAGGCATGTGAAGGACTCTACATCTTCCAGAAATTCGCCATCAAGAGTGATTGGATTGCTGTTCTCCGCCTTGAATTTGAGGACCTTGGTTTTCCCTTTGTGTATGCTGAGGCCTACTGATGCAGAGACTGCTGCTACACTGGCTGTCTTCATCTGCATCTGTTCGTGTGTACGTGATAGGAGGGCTAGGTCGTCTGCGAAGTCCAAATCGTCTAATTGATTCTGAGCTGTCTATTGTATTCCGTGTTTTCCTTCAGATGTCACAGAATTACGTATCGATAATCGATCAATATTCAGTGCTAAGTGATCCTCAGATATTATCCAATGTTATTTTTGTATAGCCCTTAGTGATAATTGAATTCTATTGATCAAGCTGTAATGTAGCTAGTTGTTTGAGTAACTCAACATTTCATATATTACATTTAAATGTTAGATGGTTGGAGGTAGTCCGTAAGAATTTATGGACCAATAGTATAATGGTAATTTATCATTCTATGAATCTAAGTAATCCAGAATCAGTTATGTAAATACTTCAGGTACGTTGTTTTAACTAGTGTCAATTAGCACACAACTTATATATGTACAGTCTCATATTGAATACGTCCAGACGCCTGAGTTCATCATTCGAAACCTGGAAGCAATTGACGGCCGTTCCTTCCTAGTTTGGGAATCCTAGTTGAAGTTAGATAATAACACCGTTGGATGCCGACTCGGTTGTCTAGAGGCTAGGTTTTTGCGCTCAAGACCGGAGTTCCTTGGTTCTAGGATCGTGGATGCGCGCTTCTGAAGAGTTTCATTTTACGACGAAACGTCCGTCCAGTACTTTCATGTTTTCCATAGTAGTCGAGCTCATGAATTCAACTATTGAATTACTACATTCTCCATAAAATCTCCTCTCTAATATACATTGCTTTAAAAAAAATCATGTTTGTCAGTTAATAATAGAATTTCATCTATTATCGACATAAATTGGAAAGTATTCCACACTACTTTTAGCTCATTAGCTCTATTGGGAAAAAAACACAAATGGAAACAATCGAATGTACCTGAGAGTCATGCAGCAAATACTTCATTTGTAAAATGTTCATTAATTGTCTCAGATTTAATTATTCCTGCATTTCCATACCAATTACTTTCTGTTCCTGTTCTTACCCCCTCGATCGTTTCAGCCTAGTGATGCTAGACATTCTATTCCTGACTAGCATTATATACTACTTATATAGACATAAGTAGTACATATAACAATACATACTACTTATATCTGTTGACATCAGTAGCATACATCACAATATTCTTTTCTAGTATGTTTATTCAAATACTTAAATTGTCAATAATATAAGCATAGTTTCAAAATGATTACAAAGCCATAAAGTCACCCTTTGATCTCTATAGTGGGATCAACTCTTGTGGTAAACGTTTTGTTGTATTATCTCTTGATATTGTTTAGAGTTCAAGAGTTTAAGTTTTCTAAAAGTTTAGTTAACGCTTAAAATGGTAATGTTAAAGACGTTCAGTTAAAGCCTAACAAGCCTTATGAATAACATATAGGTTGTGATAAACATTAGTTTTGACTAATATTCATACATTTTTTTGAAGTTTCATGAAGACACATTTCATTTAAAGGTTGAATTGATTACAGATTGATCTTAGTGGCAAAAGAATTAAAAACATGAGATTACTGAACAACTGCTTAATTCTCTTATAATATTTCTCAGTAATGTATACCCACGACTTCATCGAGAGTCAGGCTCAGATACTCCAGAGCTCATGAAGAATGTTGAACTACTAGAATCACCATGTCGGTATTTACTGTTAATACTTCAAATTTAATAAGTTTGGAATATAAATTAAAGTAACATTCAATGTCACTTATGCCAGTTGTTTCATATCTAACATACCTGAGTTCCACCAGTTACAACTTTCTCCTCAAACTTCAACAATATCTTTAAGTAAGTCACAAGTAAGTTAACTATTTTACCGTCGGACGTTGACTTAGTAGTTCTAATGATTAGATGGTCACCATTAATTCTGGAAGATTTGAACTCCAACCTGGGTGAGACTATCGGTGTTCACCACTGGGTAGTCCTACAGTAGTACAAAGTCCATATTCATTACTCTTTGTTTGATTACAGTATCCTGACCTACATTAATCTGTGACAAATATAACATACAAAATGTGTTCACATTGAAAATATTATTTGATTCGAACAAGTTGAGTTTATTTCAACCACTTCCGGAGTCTGTAATGTTGTTTACTATGTTATGCTCATATACATTATCCTAGCTTCTGGACAGCCTAATTTATTCATTCTTCTTGAGTGACGTTTTGACCTTGTTCATTATTCACTTATCAACTTTGACTGCTTTTATACGAGTGTATATATGTACAGTTCGTTTCGTCCTACTTTATGGTGGTGAAACATGGCCGGTAAGAGTAGAGGATATTCATAGGTTACTGGTGTTTGATCATAGGTGTCTTCGATACATTGCTCGTATATCCTGGAACCATCGAGTAAGTAACGCAGTTATTAGGAAACGGGTACTAGGTAAGGATGGCAAACCAACTGGTGAAGTAATGAAACTTCATCAGTTGAGACGGCTGGGACACGTGTTATGTATGCTCAATCACCGAATGCCCCGACATGCGATGCTTTATGGTGTAGGAGTGGGTTGGAAGAAAGTTAAGGGCATCCAGACCAAAAACATGGCATAAATTCTTAAAGTCACTGACAAGTGGACTGAGTTATGTTGGTAGGTGCAGACTACCTGGTTGAAATTTACGAGATGATAGCAACCGATGGTCAGAGACCTTGAATGAAATAGTTCAAAATCGTTTGCAATGGCGCAGGTTCAGTAACCGACGATCATGTAATGTTGGTTTACAGCGGATCCCAAATTCTAATCTTCTGAATTCTTCATGTCCCTTTTTTTCTCTTTTCAGATTTATTTCACTGGATTATACTCCTTGAATAACATCTTCAAACTCTAATCTTTCCGATTACTGCTTATACTTTTACTACCTCTAGAACTATGGGTTTTGAGTCGAAAACTGCATCTCTGTGCTAATGTGGTGTGGCAACTCGAACTGATGTACGTACGTACATACGAAGTTCTACGTTGTTACTGACTGACTGATGTACACTTCTTATGCTATTCATCACATGTCTGTAACTTATTTTTATCTGGTTATAAATATTGATTAACGCTTGACTAAATGGAGTTGGCTCACACTCTTACTCCACCACACGTCATTTGGCTTCGCTCTCTTCTATTTGCTTCATCCCTCAGATTTCCTGTCCAGATCTATTAGTATACAAAATATACGTATTCAAACATTCATTCTCATATTTGACTTATTTAATTCCCTAATGAAATATACGATGATAGCCGACATGTATATATTGATAACAATGATTTGTCCGATCCAACTACAGTTAAATTCAGGGTCACTATAATGATGAGCCCATCGACAACATCATCCGACCTAATTGACATCTTAAATAAAAGATCACAATTCCTTTGTATGGTTACTGAAAGTTCCAAGTTCAAGTAAATAAATAAAAGAAATGAAAGTGAATCTTGGGATTAATAACTACATCTTATGAAAAAGAATCTTGTTAACAAAACACTAACCAGAAAGAAAACAATCCATTCAACAACAACAAAAAAACATTTCTTTCCCCTAGAAACAATCAATGGAGAAAACAAAAAAGAAAATTTAATTGATCTGATCAAATATTGATTTAGTCCAAAAGATAAATAACCATTTATTGATCGATCAATAAATGAAAGACATTGTGAAAATTGAATAGTTACATATAATAAAATGTTACAGAGGAGAGGAGGGGGGGCATTCAGAAAACAAAACAAAAAAATCAATCTAACTGAATTACTATTGTTGATAATAAAAATGTTTACAAGGATAGATGGATTGTTGAATTTATGAGTCAATTGAAGTTAGACCACCATGGATAACTTGAAGCATTGGATGACCGTTTCATCCTAGTATAGGACTCTTCAGCAGTGAGTATCCACAATCCCGCCATATGAGATTCGAACCCAAGATCCATTAGTCTAGCGTGTGAACGCTTAACCTCTAGACCACTGAGTCGACATCCAATGGTGTTAATGTCTAACTTCAATCAATCCACAAAGATTCTTATAAGTGATCGGATATCGTTCTTTTACTTTGTTGTTGTTGATATAAACGTTGTATAACTGAAGAATATTGGAGGTCAACAACAAACCACTCAACGATTAGATCGACGCTCCAAATAGCTTTAGTCATTATTTCCTACTGCTATTTATAGTATAGTACAATAACTAATTACTAAATATTATCATTAGTTTAATGCAATGGAAGATTCCAAACTATACACTCCAATGTGATGATATCGTTTGGAATAATAACGAAAGTTCCACGACCAAAACCATCTAAATGAAAGAACAAAATTCCATCAAAATAATTCCAAAAGAAATCATTCAAGCAATTTGTAGAATATAGATGCTATGCAGTTGTATGAATTGCTTATTGAATATCTTGTTAAAAAGTAAATGAACAAAGAGTTTATGATTTAATGACCATGTAAACTAATGGATTATCTAAACTATGAAATCAATATGATACATTTGAATTGGATAATGTTTAAACAATTGATTGATTAATTGATTGTGAGTTTTGCTGGATGTAATTCCAGTTTAATATCCTCATCAGCATCATCATCATCATCTTGTGATTCATTCTGATCAAGATCAGTCTTCTGATCACCTTCATTGTGAACATGATATTGTTGTGACTTCATCATTTTAGAGATTGTAGCATCATTATTTACATCAGTAACAACAACAACACCCTCGTCATCATCATCATCATCATGATTACGAGTGGGATCGGAATCACGATCAAGATCATTGTGATTGAGTTTGTGATCAATCAAGTTGACCACATTGAAACTGACATTGACTGGATGTTGAGTGGAGAGTGGATGAGATCTGAAGAATAAAGGACCGAGTGAAGAACATGATGAATTCACATATTGACAATCAAATGGATGGTGATCAGAGATAGGAATACTGAGAGGAATGATAGTGTTTGTTGCGTGGGTAGTACTGATAGTGGTGGTCGTATGTGTATTATTAATATTATTGGTAGTAGAATTAGTAGTGGTAGTAGTAGTAGTAGCAGTAGTAGTATGGTTGGTACTTGCAATTGAATTTGGAACCAGCAATACAGGCTTGTCACATGTGCGTTTACCATCTATGTCAGGTTGAATGGATGAATGATGATTTTTGAGTAAGTGCATCAAATTGATGTAGAAGAGATCGATCAATGTGTCGTTGGTGCAACTCGATTTGCATAGTTGATTGGTGGTGTTTAGTGTTTGGATTGATTGTTTGAATTCAGTGGAATTGTTCATTCGACTTGTTGGTGATGCATTTATCGGTGATTGTTGAGGTAGTAGGTGTGAATTGTGAATGAGTGGGACAGGTGATGGATTGAATAGGAGAGGAGTTGTGATGTTCGATGGGTTTTTTGTGTATTGGTTGTTAGTAGAATCGGTCAATTGATCGAATGTGAATATGTTTGTGTTTGTGTCTGTGTTTGTGATTGGTATTGGTGTATGTGGTGGATTGTATGATTTGGCATTGAATGTGTGTTTGTGTGTTGTGAGTGTTGGAGAGGAATTTGGTGTGAGTGTCGACCTGGTCAGTTGATATGTGGGTATGTATGGATGTAGAAATTGGAGAAATGTTTGTGGAATGAGTGGAGAATTGAGTGTTGGTGAGTTTCGGTCATCATCTCGATCACCACTAACACCATCACCATTACCATCAACGTCATCATTATCATCGTTGTCGTCGTCGTCGTCATCATCATGAATTTTATCGTCAGGTCGACTCAATCCTAATGCTCGACGTACCTTGCGTTGTGCTCTACGTCTTCTGAAGTCACCACTGAGAAAATCTTTCAAGTTGGCTGGATGGATTCCCCAATAGTGTCCTTTCCCATTTGCTGCTCTACCTGTCAAATAAATGTACAATATCAATTAGATTTCAATCAGATTCATTTGGTGAGTGATAAATTGTGCGGAACATGCAAATGAATTACGTGAAATCAACATCCGAGTTATCGAAGAGTAGACGAAATTCGTGGTGTTGTGCTTGATGAGATTAGTGAATGGTTGTGCGAATCAGGAAGTAATCTTCAACATGATGTGTTTGAACGGTTGAAGTGTGTTTCTTGATTAACCGTGATGTGGAATACGGATTGTTCACCATGAGTTACACTGAGTAGTTATGAACATAATCGTCACGTTTCATATTCCGTGGAAATCACGGTTTCATCTGTGCGCATTGGAATATTATTTATGGCGACAATTAGGAGTGAGTGGCTTACTGCCATCACCAGTCTCCCTCACATATTCATCTTCCGATAGGTGGTGGTTTCACAGTTTACATTGAGTAGATATTTAAAATGTTGCTGGTGATTATCAGTACTGAATTGTGGACAATGTTGAGTATAGATTGATATTATTAATGGATCAATGTTAGGCCACCATTGTTCTCATATGGGACTTATGGACATTGCACATCCACGATAGCGCGCGCGAGACCGCAGGTCTATGCCACTGAACCGGGTGAATGAATGACAACTGACCAGTTATCAGTCACTCGACACATTCAGTATGGTCATTCGGATAATTTCAGTGAACAAAACACACTGTTCTCATGATGGAACGAATCAGTGAATGAATCAGTGAGTGAAATGTCACAATTGCAATAAAAAATTAATCACGACAACACCTAACAACTTACCGACTTTAATAAAACAATCATTCAATGACAAGTTGTGTCGAATGGAATTACGCCATCCTGGTCCACGTGTACTGAAATATGGATAACGTAGTTGAATCCATTGATAGATTTCTGACAATATCATACGTCTTTCTTGTGTACTGAGTATGGCCTTTGCAATCAATCCTAGAATGTTTCGATTTGAACAGAATAAATAAATGGTCAATTTTACTGAATAATATGTGGTTAAATGACAAATTAATTGAGATTTAGGTGTGCACTATTAGAATTACCAGTTGATACACTGATTACATTGAAATATTAGGTCGGTTGTCTGTTGAAGTCCAGTGTGCATCGAAGAATTCTGTGAGTAAATAACTCGCCACGAGTGTTGCACGTAAAAGAACGTGTTTGATGGTCGAGTGTGAACATGGTGAAGTTGGATGTTGTGTCAATTCTGCATTAGACTGTTATATCTTCCGTAGTGGTAATCATTACTGAAGTCAGCAGCAACATCTCACACCACCTCATTGTCTACCACTATTTCACAGATTTCGCTGCTGTTTATTGAAATAGAGAATTTCGACAGATCTGTTCATTGATGATTGATGTGTAACATGGAGGAAATTGATTTTCGAATGAGCATTGGTTCCAGTGATCACAGTGATCACAGTGATCGAATGGCATTACTTCACCATGTGTTCATATTCAATGAGCAAGAATGTGTCAGTTCGAGTCAATTGAAATTTCATACATGAAAATGATGGGAAGAGCCCGGAGTTCTCACTAATTATTTTATATGCAACATTCGATTACTACTGGTTAGTAGCGAAATGTGAAGATGAAATGATGAGTCGTGTGATCTAAGATAGACGGAAAGAAGACACACACACACACATAAACAGTCACATATTCATTATATCAGTCCACTTTCAAATGAGTTCGTTTCCATTTCCAATGATCATTTGTGTGCTTAATACTATTGAATACTGATGATTATACTACTGAATATAAAGATGGATTGGGACAATTCACAGACGACATTTTTCTCTTCTTGACTATATCATTTACTGAATTCATCATTCACCATATGCGTACTGTTCACTTCAATGTTAACTTTACTCCACTCATAAGTCTACACCATAATTATGGGTGATTATGCATATTACAAGCAATATAACTACTATTATTATTATTATGACATGAGTGTAAAGGGAGAGGTGTTGGTGTATTCACAAAGCATACACTCAACCACAAACATGCAAACGATTGTTGCAAGTGGTTCGTTGAGAAACACTAATCAAACTGTTTGTTTTGATGCCAATTTACATCAATCTCAGATGTATAAACCACACTCACTCACTCACTCACTCAATCACACACCCACACACACACTGTTATCTCATAGGTATATTACAACACTTGATTAGCATATTGAACACACTGTTCCCTTTCATTTGACTGTGGTTGAGATGAAAATCAAAACATTTTAAAGATTAATTGAAGGTTACTCGGAATTGTGTTTACCACGCCTGTCGAAACACACAAACACACTGATAGATCAACATGATACAGCTCGTGTTAATAACCACATCATCGTCATCATCATTACAGACATCAGAAATTATTAGTGTCATTGAGAGTATTCTACCGATCAGCGTTAATTAACACTCACTCACACACATATACTCTATTTCCCTCACTCACTCACTCACTCACTCACTCACTCACAAACAAACAAACACACACACACTTGATCAAGCAAACTTGAAAGTGGATTGTATATCACAGTCAATTATGATTACGTCATAAGTGGTCATTAATCATAATCATAATACCATTAATTGTTATTATTCATAGTAATGATACGTTGTAATGGATAGTGGAAAACACTAACAGGAGATTCTATGTGGGACATTCAATCCACATGAAATGGATACACAAATGAAAGCAAATTGTGGGAAATGTGGAATGGATATACCAGTCTATCATAATAGTAATGATAATAAATATTGTGTATTGTATTAATGAAATTGATTTTGGTCGAATCAGTGATAGCAATGAGAATGTGTCAATGAAACAACCGGTTTTGTGGAGTTGCGTCATTTCACTCATTCACACAATCGATGTGTCATCCATCTCTGTTAAGAGTTTACGATTCTATTTGTACTAGTATTTCACTCGATTGAAATAGATTGTTGAATGATGGACACTTGTTGTGGAATATCATCTTCGAGTTGATTCCTAATGCTTAGTAGATATCACTTGTCGTGATCACCGTGAATGGATAACACCGAATAGAATATATAGATTTGAGAAGACGAAACGAGTCGTTGATCACTGTTGATTGTGGTACAACACAGATCACAAAGTCACAAGTACACAAAGAGAATATGGGAAGAAATGTGAATGAGATCCATTGAGGATGAATAATGAGACGAATGAATGGATAAGATTTAGTGAGGAAATATATATGATTATGAGAATGGAATGAGTGACTGAGTGATTTAAACAATTAGCATTTAATTAGGTAAGAGGGAATTCTGTGAAGGTTTTGACAAGCATACATGTTCATACACACAAGATAATAATAGAAGTAATAGGAAGATGTAGACAAATAGTTGCTGTTCTAATGACACAGTCTGTTGAATAAATTAACTGAATGACTTAACAAATTTAGACGAATACAGACTGGTGTTGATGAGGTTCTGTACACTGACTAACTTGAGGAAAAATCTATACACATTAAATGTCCACAATTGACGAGAACACTTGAAACTGCAGACAGACAGTTTGTTGGTGAACAGTGAGGCATTGCCCACCGGATTTGTGGAAGCACAATCTACTTTGTCTTGTCAATTCACCACAAACCACACTGTTAAATGACGAAGATCAATCATTTCGACTTTAGCATACAATGTCTTCTGTATACAATATGAACAAAACCGCAGTATTTGATTGAAGATATCTGATCATGGAATAGTTCAATGGATCTGATAACATCGAGTATTTTACTGTAATGTTGTCAGATCCAAACAACAACAGTAATATTTGAATAGATCGATAAATGCACTATCTGACCTACAGATATTACACTGCAATCTGATGTTTTCGATGATGACGACAATGTAGTTGATGAATTGATGCATGTGTGATGGGAGTGTAATGTCACCAACTGCGAAGCGTAGAATGTATCTACATATATATCTACACATACTGCTTAGGTCTTGATCTCTAACGGAAACGTCACTCAACAGTTAATGGTATGAAGAAGGAGTCGGTTATCGTTTCAGAGTAATCAACCTATCGAAATATCACTCATAACAAATGGACAAAAGCATTCTATCAAACAGGAAATAATGTTGAAAATCGTGTGTGTGTGTGTGTGTATGTGTTTGTGTGCATTACATCCGAGTAGTGTTCTACCTACATTTGAACAACTGAGTAGCATATTCAAAATCCACTGAACATATTTCTGAGGAAACCAGCAACTACACAATCATCAAGTGACATAAGTCGCAGCTCAATAATTGACTAACCTTAAATGACTTGGCCAGCGATGAATTGATTAGGAGACATCAAATCAATTCAGAAGTGTTGCACGATTACAAATACATTTGATTGAGAAATTGTGTTCAGTGAATAACATGAAGCACTTGACAGAATTTCTCATTGTATCTTCTCAGCGAAAACATTATTGTTGAGACTTATTGGATCGGACTACTGAATTATTATGAGTGTAAGTAGCAATGGAATGTGGAGAGAATGTATGTTTCGTACTATCCTAAAAAACTCGCACTCACTACCCTGTATTCTTCCTTCTACAAGGTAAACAAAAGTTTTCTCAGTTATTCAATGCAAGCATTCTCTCATTGTTGGTTTATATTTGAGGAATGAACGGATTAGTTGTTTGTCGTGTATGTTGCACTTAAACAGATATCTGAGTGTGGCGTACATTTCACTTAAATTGTCAATCGTGTTTAATGAAAGAGACTACAATGTGCGTTTAATTCCACAGGGAATGATCTCCCTCACCAATTCAGTCGTGAAAACAACGACAACCACAAATGTCACATTCTTATTTACAATCAATCACATAGTGTAATCAGTGTACTTCGTAGATAATGAGTGTGGTATCCAACAAATCACTCACTCATTGAAATTAAGGAAGAATATCCTTGTCATGCATTCAATCAATCAATAAATAAATAAATAAATCAGTGAATCAATCACTTAACCAAACAACTGCAGACTTACCAATATAACTGAAATTCGGTTTCGGTTCATCTTCTGTGATCAGATCACACGACTTGACATTGTGAGTTTGGAATTGTTGTTGTTGTTGTTGTTGTTGGTGTACTTGTTGATGGTGATGTTGATGGCGATGGTGATTGTGGTGATGACGATGATGTTGACGACGTTGTGGATGATTGCGATGTAATCCCTTTATTTTGGCCACATTCACAGTGTTGTGGTTGTCGTCGACAGGTGGTGTGACGTTGTTCTTCTGCACATTGTTCCATTGGTTGATGTAATTGTGGTATGGAATGAACAAGGAGTTGTACTGTTGTATACCAGAATAAAGATGACGATTACAATTCGTATTGTAATGATGAATGGTGTTTGTGTGAATAGGTGATGTTTCGAATGCTAAGCGGAATGGATCTGTTTGTGAGGAAAATGAGTGCGAATCACTGTGATTATCCACATTAGTGTGAATCAGAGCTGTGGAGGAGGAGGTAGAATTGGGAATGGGTAATATGGATGAGATCATCGGTGCAGTTTGTGGTGTGAACCAGTTGGATGTTGGATGGATCATGTTGTGACTGGTATTACTAGTATGATCATGATTGTTATCATCATCAACATCATTGTCGTCATAATCACAAATTTGCATGAATTGGTGATGATTGGAGAAAATATTTGATTGAAGTGTATTGTTGTATGACATGATAATGAGAAACGAGTGAATGGTGAGTTTGCAAAGATTCTGTGAGTGTGAGTGTGAGTGTAATGAAGTGATCTTTGGAAGTGGTTATGATACTTTCCAGTCAATATGATTGATTTGTTCCAAGTATTCCACAGGACATCAAACTGATGAATCGTAATGTGAACTGTCACTAATCACAATTGTAATGTTGATGTTGTCTCTATCACAATCACAATATAAGTAGTATGAACTGAACAATGTGAATAAGAGAATGTGATTCTGTATGAATCAAACGAACTGGATAATCTTTGATGAAGATATTCAGTTGAATGCTGGAACAAAAATAACGAGTTTGCTCAACAATCTACCTTTCTATTGGTTCATGTTGGATTGACCAATGAAAACACAATGAGATTGGACGCATCATTCACTGATTGGTTGAAAGTAATGGGGAGTGTGTGTGTGAGAAAGACTGGGAGAGAGAGAGAAGGGAGTGAGGTAAACTTGATGAGAGTGGAATGAAATAAATGTTGTCCAGTGAATGAATGAAAACGTGGTTGAACTTGTTGTTATTGTTGTTGTTGTTTAGTGGTGGTAGTTGATGTCCTCGTGTTGTTGATTTTCTATTGTTTTGTTACGAAGGCTAATTGAATGTGTATGTGTCACTGGTGAACATACTTATTGTTTGTTTGTAGAAATTCACGAGAATAGGGAGGATGAATTGTGTGTGTGTGTGTGTGTGTGCATTTAACAGTGACACTTCTCAGAATATCATTGATTCCCTTGAGGTTTTCGAAATTCATTCTACTATAAAACATTGTGGGAATATCTGTTCGTTTCCATTCCATTCCTCATGTGTATGGCTACTACTGATTGACAATGATTTAAAACATTGTTACATGACTTTTGATTTTGACGAAGTAGACGATTTCATTGTTGTTGTGTAAATTGAAGAAGGTTACATAAGTCGGATGGAAGTCAGTTGTGAATGAGGATGTTTAAGTATTGTATCGATGTGTGGTTCGAGTCTATGAGAGTTTAACTTCGTTTTACAAGATTGTTATGAACCTGTGAACCTGTGTTTACACTCACATCCAGTAATAATTCTCATTGAATGAAGTAGTAGTAGTAGTCGTCGTCGTCGTTTGAGTTATTGTATGAATGATGGAAGAATATAGTAGCACATGGCATTGATATGTTTAAATCATTCATGTCTGATACACTAGAGGTTACTAAGTTTCTAATGACATGGTGTTCGATTGTAGTGTTTAACTAGTTGCTACGAGAGATAGAGGGATACATATGATCTCTTATTGTGAAAGTTGTCTTGTCAAATTTATCTTCATTCAACTTGTCGTTTATCAAATATGCACTAACAGCGGTTAGTCTCATTGCTCCATTGTGTATTTCCTAAAATTCACGCACACACACACATGCAACAACTCCCCTTTCATAATCTCTGATTGGGAAAACGAATAAGCAAACAGTCGATCACGTTGTACATTTAAACACACAACTAATGCTTATTTTCGTTCGTAGACCACTACTTAATACAATTAATGAAACGTGTCAGACCATTCAACAAGTCAGTAGACTCAATCTCATATGATTTTGAACAAGCTTTGGAGTTGTATCACATTTGGTTTCAAACACATGAATGATTGTGGAATTTCAGAGCTGTAGAACATCCGAGTAGGATTGGGTCGACTTAGGATGAACAGAGAAACACTTGAGTTGTTATGTTCAGTGGAACAGTTGACATGTGAATTGTTGTATTTAAGCTGAGATGATACACATTTGCAATATTCCAATGGTGTATCACAACCATAGTTCTGTCAACTGTTCCATAATTTTGACTGTCATTCTGAACAGTAATGTTCGACGAATACAGTTCCTGTTTCTTCTGATTGTTGTGCAATGGCGATATGTCATTTTCAATCTTCAACTTTCTTGGTCTCCATTCTGTGACTGGCAGTTTTACAGAGAGAATGGATAGGATTTGCTAATACTGATTGATCACCGTCACACCAGTATTGGGGGTTGGGTGAACATGACAAATTATCTCAACCACATTCTACAGGCATTTTTCAACTGAGATGAATATCCGGACTGCAGTGTATGTATCCATCGTCTGTTCTCATTTCAGTGTTTTGAAATTTCAACCAACCAAATGGTCTTTCGAATTTGCCGTCAGTCGATCGCTTGTGTGAATATCACCATCACAACAATGTATCTTTCATCTAGTTGAATTCCGAAGACACTTGTTCTCGATCTCCTTCACTTGTTCGTATTTCTACCTTCTCTCGATTCACTTAACTACTCCAACAAATCTCGGTTTTGCAAAATTATTGATCTATTCACTTAGTATTGTTTGCATGAATGTTCCCATTGATATTCAGGACTGTAATTGATCAATCTCTTATGGACATGTGTACATCCTCTGCTGATTGCCTCGATATTGCCTTAATTCACAAACATTATAAGCAAAGATGGATGGTGCTTGCTTACAGTGGAATCCAGTTTGACACGCGTGTCGTCTTATTTGGAACTCTTCAGTTGCAGTCCCAAAGAGAACATCAATTCTGAGATGCAGGTACATTCAGTTGACAAGTCCCACATAGGACGAAACACGCGTCAAACTGGATTCCACTGCTAACCATCATCAGTGTGTGCAAATGATGGAATGAATAATGTTTTGGCAAAAGAAATATCACGGAAAATTGAAATCGTTCTCCCTCAGTTACAATCCCCATCTTCTCACCACCCAACACGGTTACAATCTCTCTATTTGTTAATGTGTTCACATGAGAACAGAATATGAAATATACTAAATTATAGGTCTGTAAGTTGATGTGGAAATGGTCAATTGAATGAAATTGATCATAGATTCATTTTATAATTATCTCAACTTAACCCATTATTATAATTGTGAATTTGTGTGTCGGTATGTTGGGGGGTTGGGTGGGGTGGGCAACACAGATAACAGTGTAAACTGGATTGTAGAATTGAATTTATGCTTGTCAACACTGAACAATGTGTGATTATACTCTACTGTCAGTCTCTCTCTCCCTCTCTCTCTCTCTTACGTACACATTCTCGCAGTGTATGTTGTGTATATTTGGTGTCTTGCAACTTGATTATAAGACTGATACAATGATGAATATGATTGTGTATTGTGTAGATGTGATATGATATTTAGTTGTTGTCATCGTCACAATTTGATAAGATAATCGATGTTGGTGTAAGATAACTTGAAATGACCACTTATAATAATACTACTACTAATAATAATTAGCTCAGATGGATGTGGTCATGATTGTTGTGAATGGGGAAAGTAATGTTGATGAGTCGGAATGAGTTTATAAATGGTGAGATAGTGTGAACTGGATCATTCCTCATTGAGTTAGTGATTGATTTCAGTGAATATAGATTGAGTATAGGATTCGTTATATCTCGTGTATCTTGCATCATGTGCATTACATTCTCACTCAATAAGTGAATAATAAAAACAAGTCATCAGGAATATTCCATTTCACTCATCATGTCAGGATTGGTTAAGACATCATAGTTGAACTGATTCGAACTGAGCTGAATTACCAGTAACACCAAGTGATGTGATGTGATATGACGACTGATTACATCGATTCACGAATGAACACGAAGATTGTGATCCTTCAACACTTTCTGCAATCAGTGTGTTTATCGATATTTAGACAGTGTTTGTAGGTCAGAATAGGAGTGAAGAGGATATGTCCAACTATCACCACAACACTACTCATATTGTCTGTAAATTATTGTAGTTACATTGAGTTCACCTGTATAACTGCGGTGATTTTCACTGCAGATCCATCTATTCATCAATTTGTATGAAATTTTCTAGTCGAATTTCTACACCGTTCGCCTCTCATGTTTGTACTCATGAGAAAAGCTGAATTGCCTTGTTAACACCCTCTCCTACATACACAAACACAAACACACACACAAGCGGAAAGAGAGAGAGTGAGGGAGAGAGAGAGACAGAGACATACATCAAGTGAATTACGTCTGTTATTGTTATTATGATTATTATTATTATTATTGAATTGTGAGATCATATGGATGATATGGCCAATTTGAATAAGTAGACTTCCAACCACTTTCACAAGTGTACATACAATGAGATATGAATGACCATTTTCTGTATTTCTAGTCAATGATCTATGGTCTGTTTGCTTGTTTATTTGTTTCATGATGTTGTTGTTTCTTGTTCATTATTCACTTACCAATAATTATCAACTCAGTATGATGAATCTACCTAAGAAGTATGTGAATTGTCGATGATTACTCTTGTTATACTTCAATCGACTGAGAACACTCTTTCTAATTATAATCGTCTAAATTGATTATTGTCATTAATGTGAAGTCCATTTTACTGACTGAATGATTTGACTGTTTATGAATTTGTTTGTTTGTTTATTTATCTACTTACTGAGGTGAGGGATGTGATAACACACATAAGACCATAAGAGAACGATACCATACCATTTGATGCTATTGATTAAATAAATAGCTAATCAACGAACTAATCCGAAGAGAATGGAAGTGTGAATGCAGTTGACCATTGAGTGCGTCCAGTGATCACACATACACACACATGCACACACAAACACGCATAAACACACCTATTTCCTCTTCTGCTTCTTCACACAGTGAGATCAACCATCAAGTCAAGTAACATACTCATCATCATCATCATACTTGGATCGATTTAATCAATAGAATTTCCACATTATCAAGAAGTGGTTCCATTTTGTGTGATATCAATATCCAACTTGTGAAATACAGAGTCAGTCCACTTGATGTTGAGTGGTTGAATTTGATTTTGATTATTATGACTTTTGATTATTCAGTCGAGTATGACAGACTGTGAATTGTGTGTTGATGTGTGATGTGGTGTGAATCCATGATGAATTATTTCATTTATTTATAGTTAATTGGATTTGTACTTGTGAGATTGACCATTGTGTTTGTTTCTCCTTTGA